GAGTGGTTGGATGGGGCGTGGGAGTCCCAGGGGTCTGTCTGGGGGTGGGGGTGTGGATAAGGGTTGGGGCAGTCAGGGTACAGGTAGGGGGTAGAGTCCTAGGGGGCCAGTTAGGATGGGGGGAGGGTCTCAGGAGGGGGCAGTCAGGGGACAAGAGGCAGGGAGGCTTAGGTAGGGGGTGGAGTCCTGGGGGGCAGTTAGGGGCAGGGGTCCCAGGAGGGGGCAGTCAGGGGACAAGGAGCGGGGGGAGGGTTGGGGGTTCTGAGGCGGGGAAGTGGGAGGGGCAGGGGTGGGGCTAGGGCAGGACAGGGGCGGGGCTAGGGCGGGGCTCCTCCCGTCCTCTTTTTTGCTTGCTGAAATATGGTAACCTTAGAGGAGAGGCTGAGGGAACTGGGATTGTTTAGTCTCCAGAAGAGAAGAATGAGGGGGGATTTGATAGCTGCTTTCAACTACCTGAAGGGGGGGTTCCAAAGAGGATGGAGCTCTTCTCAGTGGTGGCAGATGACAGAACAAGGAGCAATGGTCCCAAGTTGCAGTGGGGGAGGTCTAGGTTGGATATTAGGAAACACTATTTCACTAGGAGGGTGGTGAAGCACTGGACTGGGTTCCCTAGGGAGGTGGTGGAATCTCCTTCCTTGGAGGTTTTTAAGGCCCGGCTTGACAAAGCCCTGGCTGGGATGATTTAGTTGGGAATTGGTCCTGCTTTGAGCAGGGGGTTGGACTAGATGATCTCCAGAGGTCCCTTCCAACCCTGATATTCTATGATTCTATGAAGTGGTATGTAATGTAGATGTAGCCACAGTGAGTAGTACTCTGAAAGTAGCCCTGTTGATTTTAGTGGAACTACTTGTGGAGTAAGATACTACTCAGTATGAGCAAGGGTGGCAAAATCTGGCCTTATGAATGGATGACTTTAGAAATGTACTGCGATAGAGACAAAGCACTGTGTCGTCTAGTTGGCTGAAGCAAAAGGCTCAGAACTCAGATTGTGTTTTTTAGTCCAGCGAGGCCTGTGGCACTCTCACTTTGGGCAAGTCACTTGCCTCAATCAGTCAAGCTGGAAAATTGGATGCAGAGCAGGAATTGCTTTGCAGAACCAGACTTAGCCAAAGATCAGGTGCAGTCATGCATAAGTTCAAAGAAACCTCTTCTATTTGTACTGGTTACTCTTCTTACAGGATTTTCACACTTGTTAGCTAAACCAACAGTGCATGGTTTCCTGGATTGAAAGTAATAGTTGGTTAAATTCAATCACAGTGTGATAGGGGAATTTTTTTTTTTTTACTTGGGCCATTGTGCTCAATTGCTCAATCTTTGCTCAGTCGCTGTTTGCTTGTAGGTGTTGCCAATACAAATTGTTCTTTCAGTCTCTAGTGTGACACTTCTCTGAAAAGAAACTCTAACAAAGGCATTGTGGGGGTCTGTGTTACTTATGGTATCCAATCACTTACTCAGATTGAGTAAAAATATGGCTTTGACTGCAACTGCTTACCCTGCACTATGAAGCTGAGCTGTTTCTGGCTCATGCATCATCAGTAATAAAGTTTCTGCAGTTGGAATTTAGTTAATAAATCTGAGTCAGACAAATCCAGGTTACTCTCCTATAGCTGTAGGCTCTGTAGTGCTTTCAGGAGTAAAAATCTTATTTTTTGTCAGAGTAAGCTAATGTGACTTGGAATTCGCACAGGAACAGACCTTGTGTGTGTGACCTGTTCGATGATATATGTTTCAATTCCTGCTTGGTGCATTTGTGTGAGGGTTTTAAAAATATTAGTAAAGTTGATGTCCCTTAGAATACCTCTACTCTGAAGTTTTCTGTCACAAAGATCTTTGTTTTCAGCTTTTAATTAACTTCTAGTATGATACAAAAAAGAATCCAAATGGGATTTTGAAGAGCTCATGATGTAATGTGTTCCAAATTTGCAACTTAATTAAAAAGTTGTCCATAAATCTCACTTCTATTACCAGGAATTTTCAAGGGGTTCTTTAAAGAGAGCAGCATTTGAAGTACATCAGAGAGGGAATGCTGTGGGGTTTTTAAGACTTTTTTATTTGCACTTAGATATTCTGTTTTTCTTTGCTTTGTAACATATTTGCCTTTTTTTTCCCCACCCCCAAATTCTCCTTTCTAGCCACTGATGATATCGTAAAGGTTGAAGTCTGGGACGTAGTTGACAAAGGTAAAGACATACTGTTTCCTTTCTAATGCTACTTAGTTCCTTTTTTAAAACTGAAATTAGAAGAATTTGTGAAATTTAGAAACTATTTGCTTTCCTTCCTTTGGTAGAAATGTTTGTGTTAATTTCTGGAAGTAACCTGACAAGGCTGGGAATTCTCCCCTCTTACCAGAGAGGCTCAGATGGCTCAGATTTGCCATTTTAACTCCAGGGTGAACAAATAATTTAGAAGCAGTTGCAAGAAGCCTGAACTTCTCTCACCAAGTTGGTTTCATTCATTCAAAAATGGACCAAATGATTTGGTTCCTAGTGTGTTTGGTAAACTTCATTTCCTCTCTGTTTTTTAGGCCACTAGTTCATTCTGTTTATAGTAGTACCCATTGAACTGTCTTTTTGAAGGAATAATCTTGTTAAAAGGATAGTTTCGCTGTGCAAAATAGTGGTGGTTTTTTTTTAAGTGAATTACTTAGATCCACTTAAATGATTGCATTTTCTGTGTGCTAATCTAAAACCTTTTTGTAACATGCTTACTGGGAAAACAATCGGCATGTGTTTAAAAATATATACATTTCTGAACAAAGTCTTTGGGGAGCTGAGTATTTGCATGTGATGACACAATGTAGCTTTTAAAACATGATAGCATATCAGAAAGAGAACTGTATATTGCTAGTTCTTAGGAAGCCAAAAGCTGTACCAAATACAGTTGGAAGCTGTTGGCAGAAATGAATGGAATTCATATGTAACTACACCTCCACCTCTATAAAGCGCTGTCCTCAGGAGCCAAAAAATCTTATCGCGTTATAGGTGAAACCGCATTATATCAAACTTGCTTTGATCCACCGGAGTGCGCAGCCCCGCTCCTCCTCTCCTCCCCCCCCCCCCCCCCCCCCCCCGGAGCGCTGCTTTACCGCATTCTATCCAAATTCATGTTATATCGGGTCGCGTTATATAGGGGTAGAGGTATATTAACAGCACATTCTTTTGCATGAACTGAAGTTACGTTTGATTTGGGAAAATGACTTGGACATATATCCTTTTAAAAGTGTGGTAATGGTTAGAAAAGTGACTCTGTAAATATAGCACTCTGCAGATCTGCCCCTTTATGTAATCCTATAGGTGATCTGGGTCAGATCTGCTGACTAGTGATGAAAATTTACATTTTTATCATCGTACTCCTGTTTCCATTCCTGCAGAACCTTTAGAGCCTTGGGAGACTCAGCTGGAATCTGTTCGGGCTTTCGTACCCTCAACAGAACTAGGAATTAAATTCCAGGAGCACTGTCTTTTATCTCAAAGTATACAGAAGTGTGCCACTCGGGCACTCTAACCTACTCTTTATTAGAGCTCAGTTGGGTCAGGGTTACAGCTTGACTTTTAAAACTTACCCTAAGCGTGCAGGGCTGGCATCCAGGAGGTCCATCTTTTTTACTTACCGATAGACAAATCTGGTATGAAGTAATTGAGACCGTGAACATGTGACCCTGTGATGCCAGTATTTTTGTTTTATTTTAGAGTTACTTCTCGGAGCAGAGCTGCACTTTAAACTCCAAAGATTTGTCATCCTGGTGGCAAAACAGGCTAAGACAAACCTGGCATTTGCAGAAGTTAATAACAGTTCAGTCACACTGACTTCTGGGGGTGGAGTGTGCCTGAAATGTGAAGGGTCTGTCCTCTTCCACCCCATTCCCAGAGGGAGGAAATGTCATTCTGTTAGAATCCCTGTTTATAGAATAAACAAACTCAAGTTTTTTATGTGGTTACAGGTTCATGGACTTAGTTAGTGCAGTGTAATGCAATCCAACTCTGACAGTAGTGCAATTCTGTGATAAACGCACCTCAAGAAAAATGCAAACTAACCGTTAAGGAATTGTTCATATCTCACTGTTTCATCCTTTAATATGATCTCATTTAATGTTTCTTCCTTTGCACTCAGGCCAAAAAATCCTCCTGCATGATGCTTTGGGTGAGAGTGACACTAGTCTAGACCATAGCCATTTATTAGCAAAGCCTCCAGTGCTGTTGCAGTTGAATGCTGATGGGGTCTGATCCTTGCTTTACCCTCTCCTAGAGGATCCTATGTAATGTGCATACTCAGAGTTGTGCAGTGTGCTGCATTTACAAGACTGCCTTTGAAAATTCCACCAACTCGTACACTCTGAATGTGGAATTTTGAAGTTGTATGTTGATTCCCACCTAAAATTATGACTTGCACCCCCATCCCTGAAAAAGTCTGTCTGCTTTCAAGGGGAAAATCAAACAGAAGACTAACATATTAACACATCTGACCTGGTCAAATGCATAAACATTGAGTACTTTGATTTCTCTCTTCACAGTAAAGTGGTGGTGACTTAAAAGTTCTACGAAAAGATGCACGAGTGGACACATGGTTCAGATTTGCTCTTGTAGAGCAGCTTGATACCTTTTTATCTGCTATGTAGTGCTGCCAGGGTGTGTGTAACGTGTGTGTTAGATTTTGGAAGTTTTGCTAAACTAAATCCCAAGAAAAGTCACTTTGTAATTATTTTACTGAGGTTAAAGAGTAGAAATCTCTGGTAGCAGTGTGGTGGTTGTGAGAACTTGCTGCAGCTTCATTTCACTAGGCAGTGTTTTGCCTACCACTGTAGCAGTACAATCCATGCAGTCCTGACTCCTCTCTCAGCTTTGGGTGAGTTGTAGAACTGATGCAAATCAGAAAGCTTTTACAGAATCTGAATGCAAGGCAGCTACTTGAGTCCAGATGTTTTCAAGAGCTATAGTCACCTATTTTGTAACTCCTGCCATTCATTACTAGTTCCTAAGTCATCCCTTTTATAGCAATGGTAGGGTCAGGTAACAACTTGTTTCAAAACAGTATTAATCTATGCCTCCCAGAGTAATGTAAACCAATGGCTCTCAACCCTCCCAGACTACTGTACCCCTTTCAGGAGTTTGTCTTGCGTACCCCCACGTTACCTCACTTAAAAACTACTTGCTTACAAAATCAGACATAAAAATACAAAAGTGTCACAGCACACTATTGCTGAAAAAATTTGCTTACTTTCTCATTTTTACCATATAATTATAAAAATAAATAAATTGGAATATAAATATTGTACTTGCATTATAGTATACAGAGCAGTATAAACAAGTCGTATGAAATGTTAGTTTGTACTGGCTTAACTAGTGATTTTTATATAGCCTGTTATAAAATTAGGGAGCTATCTAGATGAGTTGATGTACCCCAGAGGTACATGTACACTGATTAAGAACTACTGATGTCCCTGAAAATGGAGAATTTCTGTCTCCAACACAGAGCAACCCAGGACTACAGCATGTGCAGCAGAGCTCCACTAAGTCTATACTATTTGGATATTCATAAGGGTGTCAAGTAGCTGACCGAAACCCAGCTCTACAGGGTCCAGGAAGAGGAAGAAGCATAGTAAATATTGGGACTCTGAAAAGGGCAGATAAAATGTTTCAATATTGATAGCTACTCATGTGAAGAATATGTATTAATATTTTAATGGAAAAAACTGGGAAAATTCCCACATAAAAGTCCTTGGTGTTCGATTGAAAGTTGGCAGATGGTACGGCCCACCACTGTAAACCATAAAAAGAAAGGGAATAAGCAGTTGGGTCACTCACCTGGCTTTCACTCCTCATTTGCCTTCTCAGCCTGAACATCACTGCTACACACACATCTTTGTTGTTATCTTAACCAACCAACGTGCAGCATTAATTCCAGCAGTATTCACAATACGTTTGTGTTCATACATGCACATTTCAGTGTCGTCATCTTGACAAATTACCATACTTAGAACTATAGCTAATCTAAATCAGTTGCCCTTGCATCTCTCACATTGCACAAAGCTACATACAGAATTGTGCACAGTGAAATCTGTGAAAGCCACACCAACCAAATATCCATCATGAAAACATGACCATGTAACTGTAAACGTGGTCAAGTTAAAGCTACTCACAGACTGTCCAGGGTGAGAATGGAAATGTGTGAGTAGGACAGGTGGGTGTTTGAACTTTCTTGGTTTTATACTTTAACATTAGAGATTCAGATCTTGTGTATACAGTCTGCCAGAAAAAGAGAGTGGAGAAGAGGTGGGATTATGACACTGGAGAAATCATACAAGAGAAACCTGATTGTGAGTTTGACTGAGAGTCACTTCCATGTCTAAAATCTTCTTTAACACAGTAGTGGTGGGTGGGGGATGCCTTCATAGCTTCAGCTGAGTTGTGAGAGCTCCCAATCCACACCCGAGTCATCCAGGAAGACCTCCAGCAAAGCTGGGTGAAGAGCAGAATTGACATTCCTGACATTTTTAAAGTTTAAAAAAACCAAAACAAAACAGAGAAGGACCTGGGGACACGAGTATCTTGGAGGAGAGTGGAAGACGTTTCATGAAATGAAGTTGAAATAACATCTACCCAAACACTCTGCTGTAGAGTATCGGGCTTGGAAGCCACTGCAGCTTCCTTTGACCCTGGCATAGTTGAGGTCTGATACTGTGAGGAGTGACTGTCATGCAACACCAATTAAATTGTTCAGAAAGTGCCCCAAACTTTTTTTTAAAGCTAACATTAATTTCTTGATAGCTACCAGCTGGGAAGCGTGGTTGACCACCATTCTGCTGCGTATGGTTTGCGGCGGCATTGGAGCCATAGGAATCAAACTGAAGCTTTCCAATGAATAACCATACCTCCGTTGCTGTTTTGGGTTAATCCTTTTATAACCAGTCAATAGCAATAGAAATTATTTCAGTAGTCCAATACTGGAATTCCATAAGGACTGCTCATCATGGGAATGCCATTTTGAGTGTGAACACTTATGGATTAATATTTTCTAGTGAACCTGCTGAGCAGTTTTTGATGGGCCAGACTGTTTCATGAAAGAGTTCCTGAAATGCAGACTTCCTTTCCTCCGATTTCACAGGAGAAGCACTATCATGTTGTTAAATCCTCTGAGGAGAGCATTTATTGGGTAACTGCTCTATTTTGTCCTCGACCTCAACAAAGAAAAGATTAAACACATTTTCTGTTGTCCCGATTTGTTTTACGTCCACGTCTGCCAAAAAAGCGTATTTTACAAGCATTCATTCTATATTTTTCAGATGGATTAAATACTGAAAATAAAATGGTTATAAAAGCATTTCATTTCTTTGCTGTGAGGCTGGCATCGGAGGCTTTTTCAATCAACAGAAATGAGTAGCAGGAGCATTGAAACTGTCAGAATAGGTTCTGTTGAGGATGGACTGATCTGTAGATTGCAGTAAGGAATTTCAATGTTAGATTCTGCAGTTCTTCTATAATTCCATTAACCCTTTTTGGTCATGAACATCTGGAACAAAAAGAACAGGAGTACTTGTGGCACCTTAGAGATTAACAAATTTATTTGAGCATAAGCTTTCGTGGGCTACAGCCCACTTCATCAGAGACATAGAATGGAACATATAGTAAGGAGATATATATACATACAGAACATGAAAATGTGGAAGTAGCCATATCAACTCTAAGAGGCTAATTAATTAAGATGAGCAATTATCAGCAGGAGGAAAAAAACTTTTGTAGTGATAATCAAGATGGCCCATTTCAGACAGTTGACAAGAGGTGAGGATACTTAACATGGGGAAATAGATTCAATCTGTGTAATGACTCAGCATTCCCAGTCTCTATTCAAGTAGGGTTACCATATTTTAATTTTAAAAAAGGAGGACACTCCGGCCCCGCCCCAACTCCGCCCCGCCCCTTCCCAAAAGTCCCCGCCCCAACTCTGCCCCCTCCCCTCAACACTCCGCCCCCCTGCTCCTCCCCCTCCCCTGCTTCCCGCGAATCAAATGTTCGCGGGAAGCCTGAAACAGGGAGGCAGCAGGTAAGCTGGGGCGGGGCGTGGCGCGGCCTAGTCCGGCCCCCCCCGCCGAGCAGCTCTCTCTGGCGGCCGGCCGGCCCAGGCCAAGAGGCTCTGGCCCCGGCGGCTCCCGCCCGGCTTGGCTTGGGCCCTGGGGTGCCGGCCCTGGTTCTGGCCCGCCCTGGCCCCGGCCCCCAGCCAAGCACCGCTGGTCCCAGCGGCCCCGGCCCCCAGCCGAGCACCGCCGGCCCTAGCGACCCCGGCCCCAGCGGCTCGGGCCCCCGGCCGAGCACCACCAGCCCCAGGCTCCGGCCCGGACCGAAGCCCCACGACCCCTTCCTCCCTATTTTCCCGGACATGTCCGGCTTTTTGGGATTTCCTCCCGGGTGGGGATTTGAGGCCCAAAAAGCCAGACATGTCCGGGAAAATCCGGATGTATGGTAACCCTATATTCAAGCCTAAATTAATGGTATCTAGTTTGCATATTAATTCAAGCTCAGCAGTTTCTTGTTGGAGTCTGTTTTTGGAGCTTTTCTGTTGCAAAATTGCCACCTTTAAGTCTGTTACTGAGCGACCAGGGAGGTTGAAGTGTTCTATTGGTTTTTGAATGTTATGATTCCTGATGTCAGTTTTGTGGCCATTTATTCTTTTGCGTAGAGACTGTCCGGTTTGGCCAATGTACATGGCAGAGGGGCATTGCTGGCACATGATGGCATATATCACATTGGTAGATGTGCAGGTGAACAAGCCCCGATGGTGTGGCTGATGTGATTAGGTCCTGTGATGGTGTCACTTGAATAGATATGTGGAGAGAGTTGGCATCGTGCTTTGTTGCAAGGCTATATCTGTGAGAGAGATCTTGGGAGACAGACCAGTCCTCGCGTACAGACAGCCCCCCAACCTGAAGCAAATACTCACCACAACCACACAACAAAAACACTAACCCAGGAACCTATCCTTGCATCCAGCATTTATAATGGTGTTAAATATATTAAAAAGTGTTTTTAATTTATAAGGGGGGTCTCACTCAGAGGCTTGCTATGTGAAAGGGATCACCAGTACAAAAGTTTGAGAACTACTGTCCTATTGGGATCCAGGTACAGGAGAGTGATAGAAGGCAGATATATTAGCCTCAGATTAAGCAGGTCCCTTTTCCTGGGGTACAGTCAGGAACTTGCTAGAACCAATTAAGGTAGGCAGGCTAATTAGGACACCTGGAACCAATTAAGAAGCTGCTAGAATCCATTAACATAAGCAGGCTAATCAGAGGACCTGGTTTAAAAATGACCTCACTGTAGTCAGTGAGGGGCGTGCGAGGAGCTGGGAGCAAGAGGCAAGCAAGAAGCTGAGAGTGAGAAGGTGTACTGCTGGAGGACTGAGAAGCACAAGTGTTATCAGACATCAGGAGGAAGGTCTGGTGGTGAGGACAAAGAAGGTGTTGGCAGGAGGCCATGGGGAAGTAGCCCAGGGAGTTGTAGCTGTCACGCAGCTGTTACGGGAGACACTAAAGACAGCTGCAATCCACAGTACCCTGGGCTGGAACCCAGAGTAGAGAGCGGGCCCGGGTTCCCCCCCCCTCATCCTCCCAACTCGGGGAGGTCCTGGATGACTGGAAAAAGGCTAATGTAGTGCCCATTTTTAAAAAAGGGAAGGAGGAGGATCCGGGGAACTACAGGCCAGTCAGCCTCACCTCAGTCCCTGGAAAAATCATGGAGCAG